TTCTCTCCCCCCTACAAACTGTTGTCCCCCCTTTTACCTGACATAGCAGGGGGAACTCTGGACATCCGGCGGGCGCAGTGTCAGACTGAGCGCCGGGTAGTCACGTGACACCCGGCGCTCCTGCGCAGAGGGGGAGGTGCTCCCCTTCCCAGTCTGCAGTGCGTACAGTTCCCTGATGGAGCCGCACGCAGCCTGAGGGCACCCGCGGCCGGCGGAGCTGGGGGGGATTTGTCTATAACCTGTCCCCCCCGCATGATTTGCTGAGGGGGATGCATCCACCCCACCCCCCCGGTTCCTACGCCCATGTGTTCTCCGCAACTTGCATGCCATCATTTATTTGTTTGATTTAATTTTTATATCCATTGTAAAACCCTGTAGAATAACTTGGATCTCTGTAAATAACAGTAATATTGATTAAATGAAAGCAAGGACCTTTAATGGCAACTCTTATCTTGGTGACTGAACATCAAAATGATCATTCAGTAACCCCAGTGATCAGACTGGAAGACTGGAGATAGATATTTTCCCCACTTTGGCAGTCAGTGCTCTTCTAAAGATAAATTGCTGCCAAAATCCAATGATTTATTATGCATTGTCCATTAAGAAGCACAGACTATCTGAGAATCAGAACATATAAATAGAAGCTGAAATATCTATCTATGAAGCTGTGATAGGACAAATTAAAAGAAGATGGAAAGGTCATCCATTTGCTGCCCCAATGTTATCACTCTCTTCTATACATGCCTTTAACAATTATTTTGTCAGATGCTCCACCACCCTGATTGCCAAGCTAATAAATGACACACATCCTGAAACTACAAATGTGGATCAAGCTGCATTAAATTTGCAAAGACCCAATATAGACAAGTTCATTTTTAGACCTGTACCTACTAGTGTCATTAAGAAACATCTTAATATTCTAAAAATGAAAAACCAATCTGGACCTGATCAAATCCACCATTGTGACATGCTAAAAGAACTAAACTGGCTGTCGCTGGAATCCAGACGCACCCTTCATCTTTCCAACCTTGTGTTTAAGAGCTTTTCTGGGAGACTCCCCCCCTACCTGAGCAAAATGCTCTCCTCGGCTGTTCCCACTTCCTATAACCATCGATCCAGTACCAGCACTTTAGTCTACCTCAATACAAAAAGAAAGCAGCCCGATCCTCCTTCTCCTACAGAGCGTCGCAATTATGGAACGACCTCCCGCACAATTTAAAATCTTCCCTAAGCCTAAAGTCTTTTAAGAGATCCCTCGCTACACACCTTAAAACAGAATGCACCTGTCATGGTTGATTATACATTTCCTACCTGTTCTATGTTAGATTTTGTATATATTGTGTATTAATACTGTTTTTGTATTTTATTGTACCCTATTGTATCAATGCAATGTTTTGTGGACCCAGGACATCTCAATGTATCTTTCCTGGTAAATCTAAAACTGACTTTAACAGTCACCAAGAACCCACTTGCTGTATCATGCTGATACACTTGCAATTTTGCTCAGAATGTGTTTATCTAAAATACGTGTCTAATATGGAGATTCTATAGTCCTACAGTATGTCTCAATATACTTAGTAAGTCGATACTCCATATCACAGATGGCCAGGTCAGCATGTTGGGTGATTTGATGCACACATGTAATCTGTACCACAGGTTTTGTCTGAAGATATTTTCCTTTAAGAGGGTGAGATGCTGATATACATGTATAACTATGACTGATCTATAGCTATATCTTGTGATATCTCATTTGGTGAATTAGAAGAGAATAACTGTAACATTGGTATACAAGAAGAAACATGACAGGGGCCTTAATGCTAAAGAATGGCAGTTCAATTTAGAGTGACTGAAGGTTATCTAAGATATTCAAAGCCGGGTAGGAATCATCAGGGTGGGTTTGACTCATAACCCATGCATGCCTATAAATTAGGAGTAAATGAGTATAAAATATGTGATAAAGTAGGAAAATGGTCTAATGGTTTAAAAGTAAAAAAAACATGCGTAATTATCCCCCCAGGAAAGAACTCAAAAAAACACCCAACATCATTGCAGGAGACGCAGACAGCACCAGTCCGAGACTCCATCAGCCATTGCTGCAGTTTGGGAACTGTAGGCCTCTAGATATCCATCAATGTCCCAAAAGAGTAAAATGGTTGATGTAGGTCAGCATAGCAGCACCACAAATCCACCACATTCCAAATCCAGGCTGTTCCTGGAGCCATCTCCTTATGCCCTTAGATACTTCCACTAAATCCTGATTCCCAGCTCCACGGCATCTCCTCCGTTGTGGGACTCTGCAACATCACCACGAGAGCCATCTTAGGTCAGCCATGTGGGTGTCCATACAAAAAAGTGGCTCAGTGGAGCAAGCTTCAGAGGAGGCTTCCAGCCCGCAACAAGCCAGGAGATCGGCTGTCGACCATAGAGCCAGCCCGAGTGGGCCGCAAAGTCACTCTTAACTCTGCAGTTACTTTGCAATCGACCTCACTTTTTGACAGTAGAGGATACCTACAGGTACCAAGCACTTGAATAGAGATGGTGCCACAATCAGAGAGGCACTGTCAAATAGAGTTGAGAAAGCGGCAATGTGGGCCAAGAACGATAGAGCTACAGCAAGGTGTGACCATCCATGTTGGCATGTGTCCAGTGTGCAGATAATGATGGTTCCCCTTACAGTTGTTTTTTGGTATATGGTGTCTCCTCCCCTCTGTTTTTTAGTTTTATTTCTTAATTTTTACTCTTAGTTTATTGGCCAAACAGTAAGGCATACTTTGTTCGTTTTGCCTCCTCTTGTTGAGGGTTTGTTCCTATGTTACCACATCTCTCTATGCGAGTATTTGTCCCTTGGATGTCTATCCTTTGTGGAAAATCGGTTAATAAATATTGTCAAAAAGAATTAATGATTTCTATATACATATATAAGCTCTGCCCTTTGCACCTGTCACTCAGCAGAGAGGAAGAGAAATGATACAATGTACCTGTTTTTCCTCCTCCGATGTAATGTGTGCCAGGCTGTGCCAGGCTGTGCCAGGACTGAACTGGATAGTGACATCAATTGCAAAATCTTTTGCATAAATTTTAAAATAAATAATTCTGGCTAAAGGTTAACACTTGTTCTAGGTATTTTAGTGTAAGTGTGTAATGCCCCGAGACGTGTTGTGTCTCTTTTAGCAACAACACTGTCTGAATTTAGTACAAAGTTAGTACCAGTTCCTCTAAGTACAGCTTGCCAATCTGCAATATTGACTGTTTTAAAGCTCCAGATTTTCTCCCTAGTGGGATTTGCTGGGGTCTTCTCATGCCACAAGCTGTTAAGATGTAATTGGCTAATGCAGGCATTGAGCGTCTATTTGTCCTCATCAGTTGTTCGCAACAAATCCCATTATACTAAACCAGACTGTCTAAGGGTCATGGGAGTTGTAGTAGGATAATAATAACATAAATGACCCCAGGAACTTTATTACCATTAATGTACAGTCACGGCCTGTGATTTGACATTGGATCTTTTTGGAGCTATTCCGGTTTGTATAGAGCTAATAAAATGAAAGCTTTCGTAACATCCCTCCCTTTGATTGCTGCCTATAAATATCACCTGCGATTATTACTTGGATGCTATTGGGTGCAATGTTCTTGGCGTAGAAGCTATTACAATACTGACCTTATTAAAAGAGAACGGTTTGTTCCTTCAGCATCTGCTGGTAGATATCCACAATCTGCACTGGCATTATAGGCTTTATAAATATTTTATTGTTATTTGTACTTTGAATTATTCTTTTCCTCTTTTTTGTATTTTCCCCATTTCCTTTGGACGGTAACCTATTCCCTTTTATCTTCATTTTCCTGTTGCATTTACCAGTATGCTTTGTTCACACATTGTCCTGCGCTGCAGTATGTGTTGGTGTCTTTTGAATTACAGTAAGTATATTTAAAAAATTTTATGATCCTATTATCAGCATATATAATTATTATTATTATTATTTATATAGCGCCATCAGATTCCATAGCGCTGTACAATGGGAATAATGGAAATATACACCTGGTGTCTCTAGTTTGTGATTTGTTCTAAGGAGTCTTCAGCCTAAAATAGTTTCTTGTATAATTAACATTACGCTCGGGGGGATTCGCTCCCCTAATCCAGACATTATCTGGGAGTTAGACCATTGGGCAAGTGGGTACCCTATGAAACTACTTACCTGCAATAACAGCAGACATACTTTTGGAGGCAGGATCTGTACCTAGTATACTGTCAGTCAATTCTTTTGAGCCAAACTGGAATCTTTTGACTACAGCATTGAATTGATAATATACAACCGAATCACGGGGTGTCTAATTTTTTTTTTATTTTTTTTTATTCTTTATTTTTGACAGTGCAGCATGGAGTATACAAATTGCAGCGGTATGCACAGATATATTTCCGTAGTAGATAATTGGTAAGCATAAAAGGTCATGCATACTGCACTGTTGTTTTTAATTTAAAGGCGAATTATACATAGAATACATCAATTATATGGCATTCCCAGCCTATATGGCAACGTCTAACAAGTGTTGTCGTGTACTGCATGTGTCTGATCAAAGAAATAAAAAAAAATTGGCAAGAGGACGTCTCATAGGTAGGCTAGGCTTGCAAAAGAGTATATGGTAGGTGTATGAGTTTGAGTCGAGAGTAGTAAAGTAAAAGTAAAGTAAAATAAAAACAGTGTATGAGTGGGTACCTCAAGTGTTGTCCCCAGGGTACTTAAGTGTTGTTGTATCAGTGGGTCTTGTGTATCCCTGTCGGGAGTTACCTCTCCGGTATCGGTAGTAAGTCTCGGTCTGTGTCTCTCTGGGGTATCGAGGCCCGGGG